GTATAATCCTGAGAATGGAGACAATTTGTAGCCTTAGGGCTGTGTATTGTTTAGAAAATCACGATGCCAGTATACCAGTACCCAGGGTTACACGTTACGAGGTTATTTTACTGTCATTGTACAAAGGGTTGCACAACGAAATGCAGACTGCAGTCCCATTTTGCTACACAACAAAAACACAAAAAAACTAAAACTATATTAGATGTGAAGGGAGTCTCACAGCCAGAGGAATGAAGCTGTTCTGAGGTCTGCTGGTTCAGCAGCTGATTCTTCTGTATCTCTCTCCAGACGGCAGCAGGTGAACAGGTTGAGGCTGGGTGGCTTTTGTCTTTTATTATCCCTTTAGCTCTTCTCAGGCTCCTCTTCTCATCTACATCACTGATGCTCAGTAGATGGTACCAGTGATGTTCTGGTTTTAATCCCCCGCTGTAGAGCCCTCCTGTCCTGTGCCTTAAACATCCCATAACAGTTTGTAATGTTTGCAGTCAGGATGCTTTCTATCACTCCTCTGTAAAAGTCAAGAGACAAGAACTTAAAGTGATAAAGTGGAGGCAGGCAATCCTAGCTGTATAGCTGCTGCGGTAGCGGGCCAATCACACATTGCATTAAATCGATGAACGCTGGCTGTGAGCAAAACCAACCTGCTTACATCTCAAGAATTGGTCGTCTCCCTTTACCTTTGTGTGTATTTATATTTGTGTGTTTTTGGTGACTGAGCGTCAAAGAGCAGAGGCCTGAGTTAGAAATCGAAAGGTTTAGGGAAGTGTAGAGAGGACAAAGCTGGAGGGAAGAAAGATAAGGTCTTGACAAAGCTTTGTTCCACACAGCGAACCTCCTGAGGGCTGAATACAGAAAGACAGACAGAGATTGTGTGTGCGTGTGTCAGTAAGATGACTGAAGGAGCAGTCCGACAGCCACAGCAATGTGACAAGCATGCTAAGGCTTTCACAGAAGTCAACGTAGAAGAAGAAAAGCAAAAAGGAATGGCTGGAAATGAATGCCTCCACCCAAAGGACCGCTGTTTGTGTGTCTGTCTTTTTACTTTGTGTCTGTCTGATTGCGTCATTATGTGTACGTGCTTTTGTGTGTAATGTGACAGATGTTGTATTTCTATTGTTAAAGTCAATGTCTTCACAACGACTGAAAGATGAGGTAAAGTCTCCAAACTCAGGTCATTCCGGCCAGCTGCTCATTGAGTAGAGACATGTGTGGATAAAAAACAGGTTTTTGTAGCAGATTACATTATGGGGAAGGGAATGTATTTAAAAACATCAGAAGCTCATTATTATTGCTAAAGTTGAACAGCCACTGGGGCACGACCATGTTATCCTGAAAAAGTATGCTAACATGTTGCTGCTTCGGAAATAAGAGCTCATTACACCTGGTATCAATGAGATTCTTATCTTGATTCCGTCTGTATTGTGATTGCATATCAGTATGCACATGAGGTAGTTGGGGCTGGGATCTGTGTCAGGTTTAAGGAAGCCATGGATGACAATTCTTGAGGGGCTGCAAGGGTCAATGGAGAAACTTGTTAGCAGGAGTGCTGGTACGGCAACCCTGTCCTCGTCACGCCCGCTGTAAATGTCCCTTCATTTTTGACAGCAGGAAGAGGGGGAGTTAGATGCTTTTTCTTAAGAAAATGGTCACTTTGCAGACTGTCCTTATACCAGAGATCCACTCACAACGTGAGTCAGAACATCTCAGACTGACTGCATGTTAATGCTATGTGTTAGGGGCTCCTGTGGCTCAGCAGCGGTCACCCACCAATAAGAAGGTCAGTGGTTCAATCCCAGGCCTTAGCAGCCTACTCATTGGTTTATGAGTGAGAATGTTTTTCTCTTCGGAGGAACAGGTGGCACCTTGTATGGCAGCCTCTGGCACCAGTGTGTGAATGTGTGTGAGAATGTGTGAATGCTGGCTTGTGTTGTTGTTGTGAGTGCTTGCTAAATAAATGCAGTCCATTTACCATTTAGCATTGATGGGGTCCTACTTTGGACAACAAAAATGCAATTGAATTGAATTGGTTGACGTTAACTTGACTGACTCACGTAATTAATACTGATGTGATAAACTGTCAACGTTTACTCACATGGGACTCCAACAGCTGTGTACTTGACAAAAGTCCTGTGTCTGTTTTACATTTGTAAATTTACATTTTGATTGTTTTGATGTTGTTGATGTTGTTTTATCTTTATCGTTTTTAGCACTACAGCAACCCTCACCTCATGTTACCTTATATAAAAATGGTTCCAATGACTTCCACGCAGTGAGGTATCCAGATATTCAATTTGGGGGAAAAAGAGGCCTGGTATTGGATCAGGAATTTCCGCATCACGCTATATTATCTTGGATAGGTAAACCAGCCATTAAGAAAACATATATGTTTGATTAATCACATCTTAGTTTTATGTATGTGCTATTAAAAAAATATTCACACGTTAAATACTTAATAAATTAGATCGAATAAATGCATTTAGGTGGAGTTAACAGACTACCTCACTCCTTTCATTTCCTCTGATTAGTTAGGCTACAATTATCAGAAGAATACGAACATTCAGGCTTAAAGCTTGTGGCTCAAAGGTGTATTGCAGATATAAATGTTAAATAAAAGAATATGGAAGCAATTCTCTACTGAGTAGAGGTGTCAGTATCAAAATGTTAATTCTAGGGACAGGCATTGCAAATAGCTTAGGCTATAAATGCTGTGGTATGTGGCATTGGTTCATATATACTTGCTCGTGTTATTATTAATTTTTCCATCATTATTCTGCTTACTACTCTCATTGTATGAATCATTTCTGTCATATGCATTGAATGTGTTGTAACTCTGTTATGTTGTTCATTCTGTACACATGACATCTATCACACTTCTGTCCATCCTGATAGAGGATCCTCCTCTGTTGCTCTCTCTCAGGTCTCGCCCTCTTTTCTCCCTGTTAAAGGGGTTTTTGGGGAGTTTTTCCTGTTCTGATGTGAGGGGTCTGGGACTGAGGATGTCTCATGTGTACAGATTGTAGAGCCCTCTGAGTCAAATTTGTGATTTTGGGCTATACAAAAAACATTGAATTGAATTGCTCCATCCAAATATGCATTAAGAAACTAGAAAAAGTAAGTAAACTAGATTTTTTTAAATTATCCAACAGACAAACCCACCCCAGTGTTGCCAACTCTTCTCCAATGAAAGTAGCCGCATTAGCTCTAAATCTAGTGAGGAAGTTGCCAAGTCAGCAACACTGACGTCCCTTCAGGACTCCCTCCAAAGCCACTCCCCCATAATGATCATGATGAACCTAAACAACCAACATGGTTATTGGTAGAACTCACAGCTGTTAAGTTAGCAGCTTGTGGAGGACTCCACTGGTGCGCAGTAAGTGTACAGGCAGAATGCGCACAGGTAGACAGGTAGCCCGTCTGATTGGACGAGTGTATTACAGTCCTGCAAACGCCACAGATACCAGATGTTTGTCTTTATTATTATATTTTGTCAAAGCATTTGATTTGTTGTTTGCTGATTTTCAATAAATATTACAAAAAATGTTTTTTTAAAGAAAATTACCACCTCTACCTTTATATTTAAACAAATAATAATCCAGGAAGAAAAAGTTGGATTGTGCATTAGTGGTGCAATAATACAACGATGCAAACGGTTTTGTTGGCATGTGTTTGTGTATGAGCTTATGATCTAAAGCAGAGGTGCTGCTGTCTGCCTGAGTGCAGTCTGTCCTCTGTTTGCGTGAGCTACCTTTTATTTCACTGTGCTGAGGAAACAAAAGCCATTTCACAGAGCTCTGGGCCTCTGAGCAATCATACTTTACTCTTTCATACAAACGCCCCTGTGGAAAATGTGCTCTTCCCACCCACCTTAGTCTGTGAGGTAAAATCCAAGCATCTCACGCATGTTTTATTATTGATAGATATACCCAATTATGAGAAGGGCTAGGCCTACAGTCACCTGCATAAATACAACAAAGTGTGTTGATTCAGGAACAGCAACACAATGATTTTTTGCAGGTATAACACAAAGATTATAGCCTACATTTTTGAAGGATGCGGTTCAATAATCATAGTCCTTCATGACATCTTATTTTAGGAATATTAGGAGAGAAAAGCATAAAGTACCACACATGCATTATTATGCGCTTGTGACATATCAAAACCCTATATGAATACTTTTGATATCGACAGTAGCACAATGAAGGAAATCAATGCAATGGCCAGAGAATACATTATTATTGGAATTTTTTTATATTTAATTGATTTTTCAGGGTCACGCTCAGCCCTGTTTTTACTAAGAAATGTGAACAAATGCAGGAAGAACTGATCTGAGTCTACAGTTGAAAGCTTTATTTGGAAATCAGTGATTCCGACTGTCTTCTGAAGTCAGAAATAGGCCCTTAAAATATTCCTAAATGCCACTTGCCAATGCTATTCAGATCAGGTGTTTTTGTTATCGAAAAATAGACCCCTACAGCGAACTACTTATGTTAAATTCTGCTTTTATTGTTTTGTGACAAATAGCACAGATAGACACTTTTTGTTTACAGCAGTATCAGTTTATTTTCATTAATTTGCTAATATGCTAGACTTCTACTAATCTATATATATTGAAATCCATTAGTAGTTGCATTACACAGAATGAAAAGCAAAAAGCTGTAAATTATTTTTAAATAGTTGTATAGTTATGCTGTATATTTTTAGTAACATGGCCGTACTGTTGAATGCTGGTAGAAACAGTTTATGTAAAACTAAGTTTCAATATATCAATGAATTAATACCCACGTTGTAGTTTCTTCTAGGAGATGAATACAATATTTCCGACAGTACTTGAAGGTCTCAAGCCTGGGCAGCAAACGCATCGCGCGTCGTGATTTGAATGAACAGACCAATCAGCGGCCTCGCCAAACGGAAGCCGCTGCTTTCCGTCACTCTTGCCCAATCACCGCGCAGCACCGTTGTTAGCCTTGCTTTTTGAAATGAGCTGTAACAGTGGACGGACACCTACGTGGGGCGACTATGAAGTAGTTAGCTGTCAACAAACTCAAGCCGCAACCTTTCGACAATTTTCACGTATAAAAGGCAATATGCGTCGACACCAGACTTGAGATTTAACGGAGAGATGTTACAGCTTTCCTGAGTATTTTGGACCGAAGAAGAATTCACATAAATTCTTTATTGTATTGTTGACTTACTAGCTCGGTAGCTAGCTAAGTTAGCTAGAGAGCTTATTGAATTGAACTAACTTAGTTCCGCCGCTAACCTTAGTGTAGCTCTGCTCGCAACCTTTCTGTTATTCCTTTATGTGAGTATCAGCCACCGAAACAGTCGGTAAGTTTGGTTTACTTTGAGCTAGTTTTTATTGTGTTGTTAGCAAAAGCACAATACGTTACCGTTAAGCTAACCTCTGGTGACGTGAGGCAAAGGGAATGTCGTGCCGTGGTGACGGCAGCCAACGTTAAAATAACGTATCCTGTAAGTTAATAATCACTGCTGGCCTCATAATTTAAGACATTTAGCCCACTTTGTTATACAATGCACGTCTTAAGAAACACGAGGAGGAGAGAAAAGTTACTAACAATTTTTGGTCTCCATAAACCGACTAACGTGTTTGTTAAATACAGTGTCCGGTCTTTGCTTGTTTCACGTTTTTATCACCATACTTTTTGTCTTCGGTTTTAGTCATAACCATAAATACAAATACAACCAAAAAATAGTTGTTTTTTGCAGCATTGAGATTTTGATCACTGTAACTGTTACTTACACAACTTTACTGCACTGACTTTTCATTCAGCTGTTACGTTAACAACCTTTATTTTTCAGTATACTCTTTTTATCCTCCTCGTCTAGTTTGACCAGAGTCATCTCAGTCCACACATGTTGCTTTCTCTCCAGTTGAATTGTCTCTCAGACAGTATTTGTATTTGAAGTCAAGCCCACTTGTGTCTCTTGCCTTTATTCTGACAGTTGTCCCCTTCTTCTCCTTGTCTTCCTTTTTGCTCTACTCTCTCGCTCTCCTCTGTGCCTCTCTGTTCATTCCCTGTAACGTCTGATAGTTCGGTGCCTCCATAAGTCCCCGGCATGGCTGACAGCAGCATACTGACGTTAGGGACAGCTCGGAGTCTGTTGGTGGATACTTCGGTCTATGATTCGAGGATTGCAGAAACCACCAAGGACCATGTATTTCTGGGCATGGCCTGTAACGATGAGGAAGGTCAGTCTGCTACCATGTTGACTTCTCTTCCTCCTCCTTCCTATAAATATCTCGACCCATATACCTTCAGTTTCATCATAGATAATACCAATAGCTTGTAAAAACCCAGATCTTCCTGTAGAAGAAGTGGGAAGCTTTGGCCACCGGTGAAATACTACTACTCTTATCATTTCTTCACTAACCAGTGAGGCGTGGAGGTGCTCAGTATAGGCGATACCGTAAGCCATGGTATTGGTATCAGGACTGATAAAGTCGGATCAGTGCATCCTTAGTTCTCAGTGAAAATGGATTTGTGGTTTTGCTTAACATACATTGGCTTCATACTTTACTCGTATATTAATCCTCCTCTACCTAATGTCTATGCAGCCTTTCTCTCTTCCCTCTTAATCAGTGATGTTTTGTCTGGCTGTAACCCCTGGCTGTCAGTCAAAATGAGGAAAAACTTGCATCACCTCCCAGAGACGACCTACTCCTTGAGCTGTCTGTCTCTCTCTTTGTGTGTGTGTGTGTGTGTGTGTGTGTGTGTGTGTGTGTGTGTGTGT